GCATGACAGCTTCTACAGTGATGGAAACCTGCTTCTTGCTCCCAGTCTCCTCCCAGTAGCAGAGCCAGCAGATAGAGCCACAATGATGACCGATTGCAGACGGTTGGCCAACCTAAGAAATGGGGGCCTGGAAGCAGTTTAATTTTTTTTTCTTTTGGGAGCAAAATGAGATGTGAGGCTTCATTGTGAAATTATGTTATCTGTTGGGGTAATAAAAGGAGACGATCACACACTATGGAAGAACAGGAAAAATTTAATATTAACGACACTGTGTGAATGTCCCCCTATAATCGCAACTTCAGGAAATTTCCCCACAGCTGTCTTTTCCCTTGGGCCTGGTCAGCTGGCTGCCATTTCTTGGGGCCATCTCCCAACCTTCTGTTCAAATTCTTATCCTATCTCTCAAAATCTCCTCTTTGGCCCATTTTCAGTGCACACAAATCTCTGCCTCCTTTGCCTGTAGATAAAATCTGAAAACTCCTTGTTCTTTATCATGTTGAGCAAATTTAACTTTTTATCTGTCTCACTTACTACCATTCCAGACTACTTCTGGAGACTGTCTTGTACACATTAAGAGGTTCATTGAAAGGGCTTCTCTCGTTAAAAGTTACTTTAACCTGGAAATAATTTACCCTGCTCACTTAGAATGAAAATTGCTGCAATTTTTTCAGGAGGTGTATTTTACAGAAATGTAAAGAAAACCTTTTAGAGAAACAGACCATGTTTCTGCATGGAAGAACTGCATATTGTAAGAATGTCAGTTCTTCCTAAATTGATGTGTAAACCAAAATAAGGTCCAGATAAATTAAATGTTAGCCATTTAAAAAAATTTATTAAATACTCAGATATGATTAACCTGAATAGTTGTACAGCCTCTGAGAGGAGTAGAACATTCTAATACAAAGGAAAAAACAAGAGAAAATTTTAATTATCTAAAGTTAACATCACTGTATTTGGGAAATATCAAAATAAACTGGTTAAAGATTTATAGCAATTATGATAGCCTAAGCTAACATCTTAATTTAATGAAGAGCTCATAAAAATGCAAACAAAGCAAAAGACTTCAATATATAAATGAACAAATATTTGGACAATTAATTAAAGTAGAAATACCACTAGTTAATAATCACAGAAAGTGTCCAAACTCTAAAATCAAATAAATTAAGATTTTAAAAAATGAGAGCATTTTTTTACTTCCAAACTAGCAAGAATTTTAAAAAAATGTATAATAACATACTTGTGAGTGAAATAGCTACTTTTATACATCAATGAGAGAGATATATACATACAACTTTTGGCAATCATTCATAAAGACCTTTAGCATAGTTCAGATATTTCAGGTTAATGATTCTATTTTGGCGGAATTTATTCCAAGGAAATAATCCTAAAATTTACATACAAAATTATTATAACATTAATTATAAAATCAAAATTTGGAAAAAACTTGTCCATCCAACAGTAAGGAACACTTACTTTATGGAATATTATGTAGTTACTTTTCAATGATGTTTAAAATGATTGTATAATAACATGGAAATGTTTATAACAGTAAATTAAAAAGTGATGTTGGTCCGTAAAAATATTAAGATACATCCAAGGTAATTAGTAATTAGCGAAAACATTTGACACGATGAGAAATCACTACACACCCATCAGAATGGCTAAAATTAAAAACTGAAAATACCAATGTTGATGAGGAAGTGGCACAAAGAGACCCTTCAAACATGGCTTATTGCAGTGTAGACTGGTATAACTGCCTATTTGACACTACTGATGAAATTGAAGATCTGCATATGCAATGATCCAGCAATTCTACTCATACATAACAAAACCCAGAGAAACCCCTGTACGTGAGCACCAGAGTACACAAATGTACAAGAATGCTCACAGCAGCAGTGTTTGGAGTAGCCTGAAACTGGAGGTGCCCATTACTTTTAGAATGGATAAATTGTGGACTATTCAGGTTAAGAAACAGAACATAATGAAATAAACAAATAAGAGGTAAACATCACACAACATAGATTATTTTCACCGACATAATGTTGAATGAAAGAAATGTCACAAAAAAATTTATGTTCATGATTCCATTTTTATTAAGTTCAAAAATAAATGAAATAAAATTATCTTGTTTAGAATTATATACAAAAGTGGTAAGACTACAAAGTAATGCAAAGTTCTGATTATCTTAATAGTTGGGATGATAGCCCCAGCGGGGTGAGGGGAAGGTACTAGGAAAGTAGAGGGCTTCTCTGGGTCTAGGAGTGTTTGATTTCTTGACCTGGAGATGATTACATGAGTTAAGGCTTTACCATAAAATTTAAAACTGTACATATGTATTTTTATATACTATGTAATGTATGTTGTATATTACAAGTTGAATTGTGTCCCCCCTCACCCACAAAGAAAAAGATATGTTGAGGTTTTAATTTCAAAACCTCTGCATGTGAATTTGTTTTGAAATAGGGTTATTTCAGATATAATTACTTAAGTTAAGATGAGGGAATGCTAAAATAAGGTAGGCCCCTATTGAAGTATGATTGTTGTCCTTATAAAAATATGGCCATGTGATGACACAGAGAGAAAGCTATAAGAAGATAGAGGCAGAGGTTGGAAAGATACATCTCTAAGCCAAGGAACACCAAGGATTGCCGGCCACCATCAGAAACTAGGAGAGAGGTATGAGACAGGTTCTCCTTTAATTAATCCTTCAGAAGGAATTAACCCTGTCAACATCTTAATTTTGGACTCCTAGTCTCTAGAACTGTGGAAGAACAAATTTCTGTAGTTTTAAGCTACCCAGCGTGTGTTACTTTGTTAAGGCAGCTCTTGGAAACTAATACATTATATTTCCACATTAAGAAATATTTTTATAAGCCCCCCCCAAATTTTTATGTTTCTAGTCTCTAATTTCTTGACTAGATTACAAAATCTAAAATCAAGAAATAGTCCAATCATCTTACTTTATATATTCCCTGGGAGAGTTATACCGAAAGACACAATTCAAGTATAAAAATAAAGAGCTCCTATTCACAGAAGGAATCTATGTAGTATAGCTAGCTGTACCAAGAGGTCAAGGATCAATCGTAAATGTCCAAGTACATTAAAAAATAAAGGATGTGTTTTGTTCTAAGTTGGCCTGTAAAAATTTCATCCTGACCCTTTGATTCTCCTCCTTACTGGAAATTCTCCAGCGTCTGAAATGACCCTGCACATGGTTTCTGGGAAGATGTTCTTGTTCATTCCATTTCACTCCAGAGCAAAGAAGAGATGACCTGAAAGAAGACCTAACCCGGAACATCTCCAGGGCAGAATAGTGAGGAATGCAGACGGCTCTGTGAAATACAGACTTTGTTATAATTCTGCTTTCTGAAAGTTAGGAGTACAGACAGTGTGTTTACATAGTTATGATTTTATATAGGACACTGAGCATGCCTGTAGGAGTGTTATCTTTCTCAAATATGTTCCATATGATCAGGGAATGCCATAAATAAGGGCATAAAAGAGCAATACATAAGGAAAAGATTTTTTTTTTCTTTTTTTTTTTGGTGGCTGGCTGGCACAGGGATCTGAACCCTCGGTGTTAATCAGCACCACACTCTCCCAAGTGAGAGAACAGATATTTTTAATTAACAAAATGCAACATATTTCTCTACTACTTCCTAATTTTCATATACCAAAAGGGAGTAAAGTACAGAAAAATGTTCCTCCGGAAACGTAATAATGAGGTAGAATAGCACAGTGATAGAGTTTTGAATCCAGGCTGTCTGCTTTCAAACCTTGGTTCTACTGCTTACTAGTCTGGTGTATTTTTGGCAAGTTATTAGTCTCTGTAAGTACAAATTTCTTCATCTGTTAAATTAGGGTAAAAACTGCACCTACTGCAGAAGGGCTGCTGGGAAGATTCCAGGAGGCAACATATGAAAAGCATTTAGCTCAGAATGTTGCACATGTTAAGTATTTAATAAACGTTAGTTACTGGCATAATAATAATAATAATAACAATAATAATTAAAAGTCTCTTCATATTTATATTTGAAGTAGCTATAAAAATTTCCAGTAGAATTGATTATAAAATGGGCTGCGTAGGATCATTTCTTTCACCCCATTAATTAAATTAGGGAGAGAAGGAAAATTTCAGCCTCTCAAATTGACCATTCTAGTACTTAACATTCCCTGTCAACAAAATGAAATTCACTACAGTTTCCTGGTCCGTTAAATGAGATTAAGTAATCTTTAAGGAGCTTTCCAAGCACAAAAAAATCTGTATTTCTAACATCCTTTGTCAGCCATAAATCAAACATGTTACAGTTTCTAAATCATTTTCTTTCTTTTAATGAGTATTTCTATTGCACTAACTTCTACCTCTATCAATGCAAAGTACGACCTTTAGGCGAGTTTGGTGGCTGAAGTGTGTGTGTGTGTGTGTGTGTGTGTGTGTGTGTGTGTGTGTGTGTGTGTTGTGTTCCAAGGAAGCGTCAGAGACTTAGGTGGCCTTAAATTAATTTCAGTCAAAAGGCTGGGCAATTTCCATGCCACTAAAGTTTGCTTGCACCAAATTTTTAGGTTCACCCGCTTTAAAAAAGAAAAACATTATTTTTTGAAATATTCAAAACAATCGATAGTTAAAATTTTTTTAAATGACATTTGCTATTTTATTGATAAAACCTATTTGGTTATAGAAATCACTTGGTATTTCCAAATCCACCTGGGGGTGAGAACTGAAATTCAGCAACATTCCGTCTAGCCTCTGGCAGAAATCCTTTGTTCTTCTCACCTAGGTACACTCCTGGTTGACCAGGAGATGGCACTGTTGTTCCAAAGGAGTGACTTCCATGAGGCCCAGAAGTGGGATGGGGGGTGGGGGGTGGGAAGGGGAGTAAGGCTAATGTATGGCAGACAGAAGTTAAAAGAGAATTAGTGAGAAAAGTCCTGTTTCATGAGCCTTGGGAATAATGGCAAAATACGTTTAAACAGTTGTCTTCCTCCATTTCCCTTTATAGGGGCAAACGTGAACATGAAGACCAACAACCAAGATGAGGAGACGCCCTTGCACACTGCCGCCCACTTCGGCCTCTCGGAGCTGGTGGCCTTCTACGTGGAGCACGGGGCCGTAGTGGACAGCGTGAACGCGCACATGGAGACCCCCCTGGCTATTGCGACCTACTGGGCCCTCCGCTTCAAGGAGCAGGAGTACAGCAGGGAGCACCACCTCATCTGCCGCATGCTGCTCGACTACAAAGCAGAGGTCAATGCCCGGGATGACGACTTTAAATCCCCCCTCCACAAGGCAGCCTGGAACTGTGACCACGTGCTCATGCACATGATGCTGGAGGCTGGTGCCGAGGCCAATCTCATGGATATCAACGGCTGTGCCGCCATCCAGTATGTGCTGAAGGTCACCTCCGTGCGACCCGCTGCCCAGCCTGAGATCTGCTACCAGCTACTGCTCAACCATGGGGCTGCCAGAATATACCCTCCCCAGTTCCATAAGGTGAGTCTGTGTCCACTGTTAGTCACCGGGTAACTGAGACTCAAACGCCGGCTGGGTCTGCAATCTCCAGGTAACTCAAGCTTGTTTGAGGCTTGAGTCCCTGGGCTAACTACCTATGATCCTCTATCTGGCCTTCTATCTGCACACCTAACCCTAGCTATCTCAATCTAGTTTGTTTGAAATCTGGGCCTGAGAGCCAGGAATGAGAACCAGAGTGGCAGGTAATTTTTCACATCTTGTGTGAACACCAATGAACTGATAGTGGCATCCTGGGGGACTGAATTAAGTCTGCCAGAAAGGTGAATGATGTCAGATGGCCACATATTTGCCATCTATAAAGCAGAATGTATGATCTGAAGATGACTCAGTCTGCTTTGGAATGTTAGCTTGTAATCATGAAAGGGCCACCCAATTTTCCAGATTAATGAAAGCTAACATTTATGAAGTACTAATAATTATGTTTATTGTACATAATGAATAAAGCACCCTGTTGTAGCATTTTGTATTTCTTAGTTAATTAATTCTTACAACTATCCTACAAGGCATGAGTATATATTATTATTATTCTGCAGAGGAGGAAACTGAAGCACAGAGTAGTTAAGTAACTTGCCTGAGCTCACACAGTGGCAGTGCCAGGATTCAACCTTAGATAATTTGGTTTCTGCATCTATTCTTGTAATATCACATTGCACAGCCTCTCTTTTTAACAAATTGACTGATAATCTCTAATGGGCTTGCAGGGACCAGATGCTAACAATACTGATATGACTAAGACATGATACCTACCCTCAAGTAGCTTAGAATCTATTGGGGCAGACAAACACATTTCCATGATGAGGCAAGGGAATAAAAGGTGCTATAGGAATGTGAAAGGGACAGAGTTTTGCATCAGGTTAATGATGGTAATTAATTTGGAAGCCAAAATGCATTTCACCTTAAATAAACAAATCGAATAATACTGTATGTGGGATCCCCCTCATTCGAAAAATTTAATTAACAAGAAGCAGAGGAGTTTGAGGTATAGGCCAGCTAGCTAATCTAAGGCCACAGAAAACAAATGATGGAAGTTTTACTGAATTCACACCTAAATTCTACTTCCTACTCGGTAAAATGTCAGGAACTCATCTGGAGTCCTGCCACGTGAGGGTAAGCTGGAAGAAAAATTCCACTAAAGAATTTAAGGAAAGTGCACTCAGTCAGGGAAAATTCCAGATGGACAACCCAGAGAACATTCAGTGAAGAGATGATGGTTTTCAGTGTTTCAATGGAAGACTAAGTAATTTTTTTCCTTAAAATAATATGTAAAACTCAGAATGTGCTGGAACTTTCTAAAATTTTTGTAGCAAATTTGAAATGATCATGATGAAGAGGAATAGAATAATAATAATATTGCAATAACCATCCTTTGTTGAGTTCTAATACAGGTTATTTCATTTAACTTTTATAGCAGCCTCTGAAGTAGACACTGGTGTTATCCTCATTGAAAAGGTGAGTAAGCTAAAGTAAAGTGTTCAGATATTTTCATAAAGTCACACAGAGCAAGTGGCCAAGTTCATTCATTTGTTTATTTAATGAATATTTACTGAGCACCTACGATGAGCCAGGCACTGTTCTATTTACTGGAGATAGAACAATGAAAGAAACAAAGACCTTCATAGAAGATACTTTCTATTGGGACACAGAAAACAACAAAATATCAAACAAACAAATAAATAGACTCTAATAAGGTAGGTGCTATGGAAAAAAAAGAAAGCAGGATAAAGACAATGAGATAATGCCATTTTTGGGGATGTTTGTGAGTGTGCCATTTTATATAAGTTGATTAGAATAAATAAAGATATAAAGGAGCACCTTAACCTTAAGCACTCAAATATCTGAATCATGGATATTCCAGAAGGGGAGGAAAAAGGAAATGACATTGAAAACATATCCAATGAAATAATAGAAGACTTCCCAGGTATAGGGAGAGATACAGATTTTCAGATTCAGGAGGCTCAAAGATCCCCAAACATATTCAACCCAGAAAGGTCTTCTCCAAGACGTATTATAGTCAAATTGGCAAAACTCAAAGACAAAAAGAGAATCTTAAAAGCTGCAAGAGAGAAACATCAAGTCACTTATAAGGGAGCCTCTATCAGACTAACATCAGATTTTTCATTGCAAATCTGAAAAGCCAGAAGAGAGTGGGATTATATATTCAAAATATGAAAAGACAAAAATTGCCAGCCAAGAATACTTTACCCAGGAAGGCTATCCTTCTGAAATGAAGGACAAATAGTATATTCCCCTGACAAATAAAAACTATAGGAGTTCACTACCCCCTGACCAGCCTTACAAGAAATTCTCAACGGAGTGCTGGGTCTGGTACCTGAAAAACAACCATCACTACCATAAATACTCAAAAAAGAACAAAACCCACCAGTGAAATAAAAATGCTAACAATAAAGATAAAAATTTTTTTTATCTACTATCCCAAGAAAACAACAAACACAGAAGACAAACAGTAAACCAGAAAGAAAGGAACAAAAGGTATTTAAAACACTCAAACAGGCCGGCCCGGTGGCGCACTGCTACAGTGCGCCCCTTGGGAAGCGCGGTGGTGCTCCCGCCAAGGTTTCGGATCCCACATACAGACCGGTTCCCGCTCACTGGCTGAGCGAGGTGCGGGCGCACCACCGAGGTTTGCGATCCCGTTGCCGGTCCCCGTCCGGTACGGGGGCGACACTGAGGGTTGCGATCCGTTGCCGGACACGAATAAAGACAAAAAGGAAAAAAAAACAAAAAAAACCCCCCCAAAAAACACTCAAACAAAAATCAATAAAATGCCAGGAGTAAATCAACACCTTTCAATAATAACTCTTAATGTAAAAGGATTGAATTCTCCACTCAAAAGACAGAGACTGACTGATTGGATAAAAAAAGACCAACCCAACAATATGCTCGCTTCAAGAGATTCTCCTCACCTGTAAAGACACACATAGACGGAGAGTGAAAGGATGGAAAAAGAAATGAAAAACAAGCTGGAGTAGTTATTCCTATATCAGATAAAGTAGACTTTAAACCAAAAAACATAAAGAAAGGTAAGAAGGCCACTATATAATGATAAAAGGATCTATCCAACAAGAAGATATAGCAATCATACATATATATATGCACCCAATGTCAGAGCAGCCATATTTATAAAGCAAACATTATTAGACCTAAAGAAAGAGATAGAGACTAATACCATAATAGTAGAGGACTTGAACATCCCACTCTCAACATTGGACAGATCATCTAGGCAAAAAATCAACAGAGAAACACAAGATCTGAACAACACTTCAGGCCAATTGTACTTGGCAGATATCTACAGAACATTTCATCCAACAACCTCAGAATATTCATTCTTCTCACACAATGGATTAAAACTACAAATCAATAGCAAATGAAACTCTGGAAACTATACAAATACATGGAAATTAAACAGCAGCCTACTTAATGACATATGGATCCAAGAGGAAATTAAACAGGAAATCAAAAAATCTATTGAAACTAATGAAAATAATGATACATCATACCAAAACCTGTGGGATACTGCAAAAGCAGTACTAAGGCGGAAATTTATCACATTAAATGCTTACTTCAGAAAAATGGAAAGGTGGCAAGTAAACAACATAACACTTCACCTTAAAGAATTAGAAAAACAAGAACAATCCAAACCCAAAGTTAGTAGATGGAAAGAAATAATTAAGATCAGAGCAGAACTAAATGAAGTAAACCCCCCACCCCCAAATGATAGAACAGACCAATGAAAGAAAAAGTTATTTTTTTGAAAAGGTAGATAAAATTGACAAACTGTTAGGAAGGCTAACTAAAAAAAAAAAAAAAAAAAAAAAAAAGAAAAAGAAGAGAGAAGACACAAATAACAAGAATTAGAAATGAAAAAGGTGATATTACAGTCAATACCTCAGAAATACAAGAAATCATTAGAGACTTCTATAAACAACTATACGCCAACAAATTTGAAAATCTGGAGGAAATGGATAAATTTTTGGACACACACAAACTGCCAAGACTGAGCCAAGAAGATGTAGAAAATCTGAACAAACCAATAACAATCAAAGAGAGTGAAGCTGTTATCAGCACTCTCCCAACAAAGAAAAGCCCAGGACCAGATGGCTTCACTACAGAATTCTAACAAACGTTAAGGAGGAATTTATGTCAATTCTCTACAACCCATTCCAAGAAATCAAAAAAGAGGCCATTTTCCCAAACTCATTCTATGAGGCAAACATCACCCTGATATCAAAACCAGACAAAGATACAACAAAAAAAGAAAACTATAGGCCAATATCCTTGATGAATATAGATGCAAAAATCCTCAATAAAATACTAGCTAACAGAGTACAGCAACACATACATAAAATTATACACCATGATCAAGTGGGATTCAGCCCAGGGATGCAAAGTTGGCTCAACATATGCAAATCAATAAATGTGATATACCACATCAATAAAATCAAGACAAAAACCATATGATCATCCTTTTAGACACTCAAAAAGCATTTGACAAAATTCGACATTTGTTCATGACAAAGACTCTATAAATTGGGTATAGAAGGAAAGTGTCTCAACACAATTAAAAACATATATGACAAACCCATTGGCAACATCATCAAGAATGAGAAAAAATTGAAAGCTTTTCCCTTAAGAACATGAACAAGAGAAGGATGCCCACTCTCACCACTCCTATTCAACATCGTGTTGGAAGTACTAGCCAGAGCAATCAGGGAAAAGAAGGAAATAAAGGGAATCCAGGTTGGAAAAGATGAGCAGCTGTCCCTGTTTGCAGATGACATGATCCTATATATTGAACAGCCTAAAGCCTCTACAAAAAAACTCTTAGAGTTGATAAATGAAGTCAGCAAAGTTGCAGGATACAAAATCAATACAAAAATAAGTAGCATTTCAGTGATGAACTAGCAGAAAAAGAAATCAAGAAAGCTAGCCCATTTATGATA